GCCTTTCAAATAAATTAAAAAAAAAAAAAAAAAAAAAAGGCAGATTGTATATTACAGCATTTCTTAAATTGTGTTCTATTCAGACTGAGTCACTTGAGACATTCCAAGAAATGATTTTAACATACCATCCGCCTTTTTTTTTTTTAAAGATTTATTTATTTTATTTGAAAGGCAGTTACAGAGAGAAGGAGGGAGAGGGAGGGAAGGAGGGAGAGAGAGGGAGAGAGAGAAAGAAATCCTTCATCTGCTGGTTCACTCCCCAAATGGCTGCAATGGCTGGCGCTGAGAAAATCCAAAGCCAGCAGCCTGGAGCTTCTTCCGGGTCTCCCACATCAGTGTAGGGGCCCAAGGACCCAGGTCATCATCTGCTGCTATCCCAGGCGCATTAGCAGAGAGCTAGATAGGAAGTGGAGCAGCTGGGACTCAAATCGGTGCCCATGTGGTATGCTGGCACAGCAGGCAGCAGCTTTACCTGCTATGCCACAGCACTGGCTGCTACATACTCTCCTCTTAAAGATTCACAACACATACTGACACATTAAAAGTTCTGTTTAGTTGTTTTTACATGAATTTCCCAAACCCATTTAACGACAACAATCTTTATATCTGTTATCTATATATACATACAGATATATTTACATAGCCAGATTATTCTGGGAAACAAGTTTTCCATGGAAACAGCAGCAATAGTGTTTAGAGAATAATATTTAAATAATTAACTAGTGTTTTAAGTATTGCCATAATTAGGAAGCCTTTTTTACAAGAATAACACATGAGATTGAACTCAAACTTGTGGCTAAAAGCCTCTGCAATAGTAATGTGAAATGATCTCAGAAGTTACTTAAATTGTATGATTTAGATCAAGTCTCCACTAAGGATAACTTCAATATTTCTTTGTAAATGGAAAATATAAACCTCAACAGAAAAGAGAATTCTTCTTGTCATCCCAAATTAACATAACTTACCACAAATGTAAAATCTTTTCCTTGAGTTTCAGTTGTTGAGAAATCTAACCGTCCTGGATCTATTGCTCCCAATTCCCCTAAACATTCACCACAGAGTAACCGAGCTTGAGAGTTTGCATCTTGACAACCTTTCAAAAGCACTGTCACCAGCTGCGAGATAACAGGTTCTACTGTTTCACTATCTGTTGCATATTTTATCAGTTTTTCCTAAAATAAAAAAAGTTTATACATAACTTTTGAAAGCTAATATATTCTTCTAAACCAGAAAGATTAAAAATATTAAGGAACATGTAATATAAACATTGACAAATTTAAATTTCTATATTTGTAATATTTCCAATTAGTCTTTGGTGAGTTCACATAATAATAGTTCATAATATGTTCTGTATGATTATAATGATTAAATGTGTTTGAAAATTTCAATCATTAATCTATTAAATAGTTACTTTATTTTATTATATCAGCATACAAAAATGAGTAAGATATAGTCTTATCCTAATAAATTCAGTCTAATAGGAAAAACAGACATGTAGACATATAATTAAAATACAAAATGATATTTACAAAGTAGAGAAATATTGAAAACATTTAAAAAGAACAGTAATTTTTCAAGGATGGTGGACAAACATTTCAGTAGATAAGTGAAAAGGAACAACTATTAAATAAGAATATTGAAAATTACATAAAAATCAGTAAAAGAGGGAAACAAACATGGAAAAATGAGTTCTAGGGCAATAGATTATCTCTAGTTCTCGAATAAATAAATAACTTAAAAAATTAGTTTAATTAAAATGAAGACAGATAATTCAGTCAAAATTTCTGACATTTTATATGACACATTTTTATAGGAAATTATGTAAGACTAACATAATGTGTTACATATACATTTTTACCTAAGAAGCTGCAGTAATACACATACAATCATAAATCATGACACTCTAAAACCAACAGAAAACTTTGCAAATCTCTGGAATTCAGCTCAAACGGCATTTCATGGGTTAGTGATTCTCAGCCAGATCTGATAATCTAAGTAAAATAAAAATTACTTCCTTATTTAAATCTACTGAATTTCAAGCGGAAATGCTAATCCATCATATTTCTTTAAATCTATAACTTTTATTTTCTGTAACTCGGCAAATACATTATCTTAGCATACCTGGTTTTTATATAAGGTTTCCTTTAAGCTAGTAAGAGCATGAATACGAACATCTACATTTTCATGTTGAACTGCTTTCATGGATAGCTGAAGCGTTGTTTGAAGATCAGTACTTTCAGAGGTCTCCTATATAAACAGCACAGCAAGACTCATTTTATTAACCATGTTAACAGTCATTTCCAAAGGTCTGAATTCCCTATATAATTAATAGTAAAACGATACTCCAATTAAATCAGTTTAAAAAATAATAAAACTTCCATCCTTTCCCTTGTACATTATATGTAACTTTAAGTAATTCTCAGGGAAAGAATTCCATTCTAAAATCTTTAGAATGATTTCTTGACAAAAAAATTACTATAACAATATGAGACTATACTTGTATAAAATAGAAGCTTCTTAACAAGAAGGACAAGTTTTCCCTCACTTATAGGGGGTTACATAGTGGCCCTGAACCAGGTTTACCATGTAGATAATTCACTCCATCCTTTCACGTCCCAAGGTAATACCTAAGGTCAGGTACCCCACTTTCTGCCCTCAAGTGCTATGAAATCACCACTGCTACTTCCAAAATTTCAGAGAGCGCGCTGAACTTCAGGATGCTGGGATTACAGGCTATTCCCCTTCTACAGCTCAAGAACCACACAGATCTGGCATTTCTATACACCCTGTCTGTAGGACAACCAAACTGAAGTAATTCCACAGCTTTTCTTCCTTCTCTCAGGACACTGAGTTGTGGTAGCTGCTTCTTTTGGGGACTGTAAATAAAGCATAAGAACTGTATTCTTGGTCCTCCGTTCTAGCTAATGCTATTGCAGCTTTGGGCTAAACATGAAACTTTCACTGCAAAAGTTGTGGATTCACAGCAGCACTATGTAGTCACTAGGCATTAGCTATCAGAGTGTAGCTAAACTCCTATTATCCCCAGATTTTACTCCAAAGGATCATTATTCAGTGTATTAGAATTTGGGATTAGCTTTGGGTCAGTAACCCCCTAAACCACCAATTAAAAAAAATTACCTTTCTATATTCCTGGAGAACTGCTTTTATCTTTTTTAATTCTGGATGATCAGGTAGAAAATATATTTCATGAAGAAAATCCTGGACAGCATCCCTAATAGTTAGAATAAAAAAGCATTATTTGCCAAGAATATGAATACTAAAAAATACATAAGCAGAAGTTGAAACTAAGACCAGCTTAATTCACACTTAAAATTGCTAGTTAAAGGGGATGGCGCTGTGGCATAAGGGGTAAAGCTGCCGCCTGTAGTGCCAGCAATCCACATGGGCGCCAGTTCAAGTTCCAGCTGCTCCACTTCCAATCCAGCTCTCTGCTGTGGCCTGGGAAAGCAGCAGAGGATGGCCTGGGTCCTTGGGCCCTCTCAAGTGGGAGACCTGGAAGAAGCGCCTAGCTCCTGGCTTCAGATCAGCTCAGCTCCGGCTGTTTCAGCCATATGGGGAGTGAAACAACAGATGGAAGACCTCTCTCTCTCTGTCTCTACCTCTCTCAGTAACTCTTTCAAATAAATAAAATACATTTTTCAAAATAAAAAAGTGCTAGTTGATTACTGACATGCAAAATATTCTTCTTAACCATGTTCATATGCTCAGGAAAATTAATAGTAACAATTAAGGAAAGCAACTTAACGATAGTCTGTTATATTGGTGGCCCTCAATAAAAGCATGTCAAATATGTAACACCTTCCTCTTGAATCTCGGCTGGGCGTGTGGCTTGCTTTAGCAAATAAGACTGTGGCAGAGATAAGTTGTGTTAATTTGGAGCTTGGTGTTAAAAAAAAAAAAAAGCCAGGCAGCATCTTTTTTTTTTTTTAAGATTTCTTTTACTTATTTGAAAGACAGAGTTACAGAGAGAGAGAGAGAGAGGTCTTCCATCCACCTGTTCACTCCTCAAATGGCCACAACAGCTGGAGCTGAGCCAACTCGAAGCCAGGAGCAAGGAGCCTCCTCCAGGTCTCCCACAAGGGCACAGGGGCCCAAGGACCTGGGCCATCATCTGCTGCTTTCCCAGGGGCATCAGCAGAGAGCTGGATCAGAAGTGTAACAGCCAGTATTTGAACAGGTGCCTATATTAGATGCCAGCACTGCAGGCCAGGGCTTTAACCCGCTGCACCATAGCATCAGCCCCAGCCATCTGTTTTTGTACTCTGGAGAGCCTTGAGTCACCATTTGAGAAGTCTGATCACCAACATAGATGGGCCAGAGAGACAGAGAAAGGCCCTGACACTACATGGAAAGAGGGAGATGCCTAGCCCAGTCTACCCGGCAGTTGAACATGGCCATACTAGTAATCACAGGCAAAACCAGGGAGAGAAATATTCAGTTGAACTTACCTCAGATCGAAAAAATCATGAGCAAATAAAGCTAAGTCCAAAACATAAATTCTCATCAAGCATTTTAGAGAAAAAGATACAAATAGTCCTTATCAAGGCTATAATTTTTAATTTCCTTCAAATATAATATATAATCTTTTCTGTATCCGAATATAAGTGTTTTTAAATTCTAGCCTTACCCATGCAAAAAACCATGTAGTAAGTTAACTTCTGTGACCTATAATATACCAAGCACTGATATGGAACAATAAACCTAGCAAAAGTTATTCCTGTATTCAGGGAGTGTAAGGTCTTTCATCTAGCACACAAAGATTTTTCTTATGGAATGAAAAAGGGAGAGAAATAATTCCTCTACAACAAACAGCAAAGATATGACTCTTAACATAGCAATTAAAGAAATATTTGAAAACTGACCTAAATTATGATCTTGTTGTTCTATCATGTTTAAAATATCAATGTGCCAGAAATAAAAGTATTTTAAGTGAATAAAAATACATCAACTTCTTTCTTCTGGGCTTTCCTACCTGATAGGACAGTCATTGGAACTGATTAGGAGGAACTGCGATACTGTATGAGTGAGAAGTTAAATAAGTACTACTTAAACCCTGACTTCAAAAACAACAGAACTATGACATACAACAGTAAGTGAAATCATACAAAAATAATACAAAAAACCATATTTGTTTAATGTGAAGGAACACATTCTAAGCTGAAAAGCAGCCAAGAGGCAAGAATACAAACGGGATGGAGTAATGTATGTTCTCTGAATATCAGTCCACATTGGCTACAGTTCCATGCCTGTTTTGGAAAATGAAGGGAAAAGATGTTAAGATAAAAGAAGTGGCCTGATCTTGGAAAGCCTTGCATGTCAATTTAAGCAATTTGGAATTCATCAGTTTGGAAACAGAACTAGAGAGTATGCTAGAGTGGTACAGAAAAAGAATTGCTTTTAAAAGAGCATCTGGCAACAATATGAATAAACATGATAAAAGCTTAAGGGAAGGGAGGCTGTTTCAAAGGTTAATGCAATAAACCAGTAAAGGTTTCAGGTAAGGGAAACTGCAGAAAGCAGGTGAATATCCCCCATAACCTTTCTTGTGCTTTTCAACCATCTCCTTTTCACTACGAGAAGAAAGGTAAATTTAGTTTTGTTGCTTCAGAATTAATGAAAAGTAATTTTTAAATACAATTATAGTAGAAGAAATGCCACAACTGAAATAGCCTCAGTTCTATATGTAAATACATGTCAGTTACTTTTGTTTATAGACAGACTCTAAAATTAAAACATGAGAAGCTCCACATTACCTGTTCTCAATTATAAGGTAGTGAAAGATAGCTGCAGTTTCCTTAGGCTGGATGTGTATGAGAGGTAACAAAGCTACTATTACGTGACTCAGAAGCGGGCCGAGATAAGCATGATCCAGGCAATGAACAAAGCAGTCCCAAGCTCTATGCAAAAAACAAATGAAAATCGGTTTCAATTATTTATATTATTTGTACAGAATCATGAGTTATTAGTTGAACAAACAATGCCTGCAAACAATATGCAGCTTTAAAAATAGGATTAATATTATAAATTCTAAATAAAGTGATCTCCATATTCTATTAAGTCAAATGAAAATGGTGGGGGGGCATTTGACCCAGCAATCATGCTGAGGCTTGGAACACTCACATGCCACCGTGGAGTGCCCAAGTTCTATTCCTGGTACCATGCCTGATTCCAGCTTCCTGGTAAAGGCACACCCAAGGAGGCAGCAGGTGATAGCTCAAGTACATAGGTCCCTGCCACCCACATGGGAGACCTGGATTGAGTTCCCATCAGCTGTAGCCTGATCTAGCCCTGGTTATGTGCGTATTTGGGGATTGAACCAGTGGAGGAGAGCTCTCTGTATCTGCTTCTCTTTCTGGCTCTTGAATGAAATTAACCAAACAAAAAAGAAGCTAAGTGAAAAACGGTGTTTTGGGACAAGATTAATCCTAAGAAATGGATGTTGTATGTGTGCAGTTGTTTATACAGATGGTCCCTGACTCACGACAGCTCACCATCCAATTTTTAAACTTTTGTAAATTTGTATGCATTTAGTAGAAATTGTACTTCAAATTTTGAATTTTGGTCTTTTCCTAGGCTAACAATATGCAGCATGATACTCCACTGTGATGCTGGGCAGCAACAGCTTCCATTTAATCATGCAATCATGAGGGAGACAACAGATACTGTACAGTGTACTATTATATTCAATAAATTACATGAGATGTTCAACACTTAATTATAAAACAGGCTTGTGTTGGATGGTCTTGCCCAATCACAGTCTAATCTAAGTGTTCTCGGTATATTTAACGCTATGGTAAGCTAAATAAGCTATGATGTTTGCTAGGTTAGATGCATTAAATCCACTTTCAACTTAGGATATTTTCAGCTACTGTCATCTATATATCAAGGACCACACATGCTTAAAGATCAGTGGATACTAACAAGAACCAAGAGTGAAGCCAGATTTTCTGAGGGTAGCTTTTTACATAGATCTGAATTTTGGACTATGTAAAACTACATTTTATATTACTTTTAAATTAAATTAAATACAGGCAAAAAGCAATATCTAAGATTTTTACACAAACTAAAAGTTGTGAACCTGAGTATCAAACCAGTGACACACACACACAGAAAATAGTTACTTCATATAACATTAAAACACATTATGCTAACTATACATCTTTTCCTTTAAAAATTTATTTGAAAGGCAGAGAGAAAGAAAGATAACGGCAGAATGATTTTCCATCCACTGGCTCACTGCCCAAATACCTACAATAGCTGGGGTGAAGCTAGATTGAAGTCAGGAAACAGGAACTTAATTTGAGTCTCCCACACGGGTGGCAGGGACTCGACTAGTCGAACCCCCCAAGGCACACATTAGCAGGAGGCAGGAACAGAGCCAGCACTTGAATACAGGTTCTCCAATATGGACGAGGCATCCTAAGTGGCATCTTAACTGCACACCAACCTCTGGGCCCCTGCCTCTGTTCAATATGACTGATACATTCAAGGACAAAAGAGAACTTCCAAGAAGCTTGAAACTGCTTTCAGAACTCTTACTATTCACAGAAATACTGAAATTGTCATTTTAAAATCATACATAAGTATAAACAAAAAGACAAACTAAGTAAATATTACTAAGTCAGTAAGAACTAAGTATAATATGGTACCCCCAGGAAAACTAATATAATGTAAAACCAAAGAATGAAGACCATGTAATCTTCAATTGAATTGGAAATATTTATATACACTCAGAAGTATTTTTTCTTTGTAAAATAATATAAATGTTCTAATAGCTCTATTCCCTTGAGTCTTAGAAGGACAACTGAGCAGGAATAGGTAGGCCCAGTGAGCATCCAGACTGGCTACTAATCTGTGTTCAAAGGAACCAGCGTCAGGACTCCTTGAAGAAATTACTGATTCTAGATCAGGGGCAGAGGATATGTAAAGTGAGCCTTTGATGTCTTGTCAATGTGGAAAGCAGAGAAATCCATCAAAAAATTAATGGGGTCATGTCAAAACTCAAAGGTACCAAGTTGAAGGGACTCCTATTGACTTAAGATGGTACAGTTTCAGCAATAAAAAAGAATAGCCACTTAAGTAGATTAAAGTTCATTAAACTTATAAAAATACATGTGATCAAAATGATACAAACAAGAAAAATTTCTCTAGAGGTTGTTAGGGCACAAAATCTATATTTGAAAATCAATAAGTAATGGGAAATATTCAGGGATTTATCTTGCCTATTTTGTCTAAACTGTTTTTACTATATGAACTTTGTGAACTTTTTTTTTTTTTTTACTAAATTTTACTCTTTATGAGGAGTTTTGTTTTATTTAAGAAGAATCCTGGGGGTGGAATCATGGCACACTGGGTTGGGCTCCCGCCTGAAACGTCAGCATTCCTTATGGGCACTGGTTTGAGCCTGGCTGCTCAGCTTCCGATATAGCTCCCTGCACCTGGGAGAACACGGAAGACGGCGTTAAGTGCTTAGGCCTTGGCATCCAACACAGAAGACCTGGACTCAGTTACAGCCTCCAGGCTTCAGCCTGGGCATTGCAGCCATTGGGGAGTGAAATGGTGGATGAAGGATCTCTCTCCAAACCTCCCTTTCGAATAAATAGATCTTTTAAAAGAGATATGGTCACCATTAAAAAGAAGAAGAATCCCACCTAAAAAATATAGGTAGAATAATAAAATTAGAAAAATTAGTATTTGAATATTTGTAATCAAATAATGAACTTAGGCAATGATAAAACCCTTACATGAAAAATTGTAATAGAGGGATTCAGTTTGATAAAACCACAACCTAGAGATTAACTTAGCATCACTAAAAGCAGGCATCCAGATAATGTGTAGTTAATGTTGTAGCACACGAGAAGCACAAAATCTTCCTTTGAAGCATCCTTTTGAAACAAGTTGTACCTAAATCTAACCGAGAATCTACATCTAATTACTAGTTTATGTAGAAAAACAAGGAGGAAGCAAGATATACAGGGAAAAGTTAAATCAGCAAACAGCCAAGGCCTACACATCAATATCTTAATGGCCTGAAAAAAGTAAAACATGTGGGAAGGGGACTTAACAAGGTGAGGCTATTTCTAAGAGATACATAAGGAGCCAAACAACCAAGTGTCTAATACGTAAACCTTGTTTAGAGCCTGATTCAAACAAACCAACATCTTTGAGAAAAATATCTCGGAGGCAATTGGAGGAAATCCAAGTATTAACTGAATTTCAGATGATATTAGGAATTGTTATTAATTTTAATACAACATGATGTGTTTTTTTAAACTCTTATCCATTAGTCATATCTGAAATATTGACAAGTACAATGAAGTGATTCTGAGATTTTCTTTAAAATACTCTGACACTAAAAAAGGTGCAAGGGGATAATTTCAATAAGGTCAGCAATGTTGTCAACTTCTGGGGCCTGATAATAGATTTGTAGGAGTGCATTAATAACTCTTCTATTGGGACCAGCATGGTGGTACAGTGGCTTAAGCCATGACGCTGGAATCCTATATGAGAGTATTTGGGTCTTTGCCACCTATCTGGGAGACCAGGATAAAGTTCCTGGCTCCTGGTTTCAGTCTGGCCCCAGCCTTGGCTGTTGTAGCCAGGGAGTGAAACAGCATATGATCTCTTTTTCCCCCTTTGTTTTTCCCTATCAATCTGTTTTTCAAATAAACAAATGAGCTAAAAAATTACAACTCTTTTATTTTCCAGGATGTTAAAAGATTTCCATAGTAAAATATTTTTTAAAAGGTAAATACGGGACCGGTGCTGTGGCATAGCAGGTAAAGCCACTGCCTGTGGTACCTGCCATGTGAGAGACCCAGAAGAAGCTCCTGGCTCCTGGCTTCGGATCGGCTCAGCTCCGGCCACTGCAGCCATTTGGGGAGTGCACTAGCAGATGGAGGACTTCTACTTTCTGTCTTTCTCTCTCTCTCTCTCTGCGCCTCTCTCTTTCAAGCAAATAAATAAATCTTAAAAAAACAAAAAAAAAGTAAATACAGTCCCTTTTCAACACAAATAGTCTTTCTACCTTAATTATTTACAATTTGAAACCAGTTTCAAGAAGAAACCAGTTTCGAGAAGACTTAAGAGTTCAAGCTAGTGTTACTAGGAAATATAAAGAAGTGAAAGAACTAAGGCAGTCATTTACCTGCAACACAACTCAGGAAAATCATCCTTGAACCGAAGGCCAGTTCTCAGAGTGGTCATCATCTTCACCCTCACAGAACTAACGTGTTTGGGTCCCATCAACTTCATCAAAGACATCAAGCTGTTCAAGGCCTAAAAAGTAAGTAATGCTTTAAAATAAAGCTTATTAAAACAGGTAAGTCTTAAGGACAAGAGCTTTTCACTCAAATCTCAGGAGTCATCTACTCTCAGACAACAAAAAGTGGAAATATGTTGGCCAGTTCATTTTGTGCAACTTTTTATATGGGAATTAAGAATTTGAAAAATACAAGTTGAGACGTTTTTCCCTCCTTGAAGGTGGTTTGTTATTTTGGTCCAGTGGCCTTCTAGCAGAGTAAATTTTCTGATTGTTAACATAGTCATGCATACTATTTAATTTTCTTCATGTTTATTCCAAACTAAACAAAGCAGCATAAATATAAATTGAATTAAAAAAATTTGAACTTGAGAGCCTTGTAAAAATTGTGAAGTGAATGAAATGTCTAATAGTGTCCATAGTTAAAATAAATTTTTGTCCTAATGATAATAAATTCAAGATGTCCTGAATTTAGTAAAGCAAACAACTGATGATAAACCCAGAAGGAAAACATGTGAAACAGAGAAACACAGTTGATCTCTCAACAACTCTGGTCAGCTTTTAACTATGTGCCAAAACATGTATGCTCTTTATGTTTACAACACAAACTCTAGTTTTCTTAGATTCACTCACTTGAGATAACAGTAAGATAGAAGCTGTTTAACTGCAATTAAAATTTTAGGGGTGTTAAATTTATTAGTTGACATCAAAAGAAAAGGCATCGATTACTGGAATTTGTAGACTTTAATATTTTATCATAAGACTTTCCTGTCTCAAGGTTATTTTAAAAAAAGAGTTGGTGCTGGTGTTGTGGCATAGTGTATAAAAGCTGCTGTCTGCGACACTGACATCCTATATGGGCATTGGTTCGAGTCCCGGCTGTTCCACTTCCAATCCAGCTCCCTGCTAATGTCCTTGGGCCCCTGTAACCCAAGAGAGAGACTAGGATGAAGCTCTGGTTTCTGGCTTTGACCTGGCTCAGCCCTGACCGTTGCAGCCATTCAAGGAGTAAACTAGAAGATAGACGATCTCTGTCTGTCTGTCTCTTGCTTCCTGTAACTCTTTCAAGTAAATAAATAAATCTTTAAAAAAAAAAAGGTAGTATAGCCTGAAATTAAAAAAAAAAATCATTTGTAGATTTTACTCTAATCTTAGTGACTACAGACATGGAAAGCAACAAAAAGGGAAATTTTATCAATATTCAAAATTTTTTCTCAATCTTTAAGAGGAAAATTTACAATTTGTTGCAGCAATCATAATGAAACATCATCATGCCACAAGAATTTAAATATAAACATACAAATACCAGAGTTCCCTTACTTTATATAAATCTAACATTTTTGGTATTGAAAAATAACATCTGGGTGGCCAGCATTGTGGTATGCAGTGGATAAAGCTTCATCCAATATCAGAACGTGGGTTTGAGTCCTGGCTGTTTTG